CCACAAAAAGTTACATAATTCACCTTTAAAAATAAATATAAACGTAACTCAAACACTGAATATAATTAAAAAATAAATAAATAAATACACACAAACAGGGCAACTAGTTTACACTTACAAACACTAGATGGTGCTATTTAGTTTTTCCTGCATAATCTTCATAGGATGATAACGTTTGTCTGGAGTTGGGAGCTTACATATTTCCACAGTTCAAGACCAAGTAAAGAAACTGACTGAACAGCTTATGAGACAGAACCTGGTAAAGCAGCAAGTACACAAAGTAGTGTATAAAAGAAAACAACAGTGGTATTTGTTTGAAAAAGAAAAGTGGTATTTGTTTGTTGTCACGGGCTCCCACACCAAACTGCACCCTTGTGGCCAGGAGAGCATAAGAATATTTCAAGTATTTATCAAACTCTGTCATCAAGTCTAGACAACAAGAAAAACATGCCATTGCTGTATCCAAGAACACGGAGTTATTTGAATGCTTTCTTGCTTTGAAATTTCAGTGGGATAGAGAGATCAATAATTTAAAATCTCGATTATTCTTAAGATAACTATACTTTGATAAAAGATTTATTGGTCCTTTAGAACAGCTTAGTAATGTAATTTAAGATAAGTAAATTTAGAAGTAATTTTGTAAGATTCTTTATTATAGTAAGATATTCTTATTAGAAGAAGAATTTGCTTCCAGATAAGAGCATCATTGAGTTAAAATACATGTCAGGTTAATGTCTCTTTCTAAATATGATATGTCTGAGGCAAGTGAATTTTCAAGGAATAGACCATGATCCCAATGACATTCCAGTTTATGTTTCCTCTGCAGAAACCAAATACTTAGTGCCGTGATGTTGCACCAGGCAATAAACAGAACAGTCTACCAACTACTGGGAGTGTATTGCTACAATCATGAGATAGAATCTGAAACAGCAATGATGAGTAAATAGTAATAGAGACATCGCAGCAGGAAGGAGCACTGTGATGAAGAAATTAAGTGTAAATGAGGTGATGGAGTCTGATGGATATGGGGGAAATATTTTGGCTAGTCACATGAAAGTCTACAGCCATGCTGCCAAAGAGCAGATCTATTTTTAGTGGTGGAATGTACACAGGGCCTCGTGGTGCAGGACCATAACAACAAACTGCAAGACACGTTACAAAGAGACGGTCCATCCAAAACACACAGCGACCCCACTTTTGCACGAGAGAGACGAGCAAGAAAGAGAGGGGAAATGTCAAGACGTCAGGTTTACTGTTGAGGCCTTTCACCAGATACGAAGAGGAGCAAAGATTAAGGCTGAAAAAGCTGAAAAAGCTGGAAAAGAGACAGAAGGGACGGGTAAGTGACTGGCAGCATGAGACACAAAAGATGTCTACAACTGAATAGATAGATACTTCATTGATCCCAAAGGAAAGAAAATGGCTATTTTAATGCTCTGTATTTCTTATTCTACAATATAATTAAATTAAAGTATTTTTCAAATGTAGAATTCCATGCAACCTTTATAGTTTATGGAAAAATATCAGATTTTCTTTAATGGTTTGTGTAAACATTCTTATTGGACAGTGGGTGTGTTGAGGCCATTGGTATTCTCCCATTTTATGTAGTCTAATATTGATAGAGGTTGATAAATGTATTGTCTATTTTGAATTGCTATGCCTACTCACCCATAAAAGTGACTTGAGTTCATTAAATTCTATTGAGACTTTTTTTTCCCCTTCAGCATGGACCTTGAACCAGTGGAGCTGTTTCACTTCAGAGACACAGAGCAGTCATGCAGTCTGCTGCTGCAGCTGAATGTTCTCAGACACGAGCACATTCTCACTGACGTGTGGCTCTGCTCAGACCAGACTGAGATCCCCTGTCACAAAAATGTCCTGGCCTCCAGCAGCCCCTATTTCAGAGCTATGTTCTGCAACAACTTTATAGAGAGACACCAGTCCAAGATTGTATTAAAGAGCATTACTCCAGGCATTCTGAGTATTATTATAGACTATGTTTACACTGGACTAGTAAGCATCCACATGAACAATGTGCTGTCCCTGATGCAGGCCGCAGCCATGCTTCAGTATGGCCGACTTTTTGAGGCCTGCTCCACTTTTCTTCAGATGCAGTTAAGTCCAGACAACTGCCTGAGCATGATCCGACTGTCTGAAATCCTGCACTGTGAGAGTTTACAGGTCAAAGCAAAGGAAATGGCAATGAGGAGTTTTTCTGATGTGTCAGCCTCAGAGGAGCTGTGTGAGCTGTCTCTGCCTGAGCTGATGCGATACCTGGAAGAGGATGACCTGTGTGCAGAGGAGGAGCAGGTATTTGAGACCCTCGTGGCCTGGATCCACCACGACCCTTTATCCCGCAAAGGTGCCATAAGTGATCTGTTCAAAAAGGTGCGTCTGCGCTACATCCACCCGACCTACCTCTTCCAGTTCATTGCCAGTGACCCCCTGATCCAGTCATCTACACTCTGCACCGAACTCATAGAGTCAGTGAGACGACTTATGTTCTCTGTAAGCAGCAAATACATACAAGACACAGAGTTCAACAAACAGTGGGTGGCTCATCGGCGCTACACCTACCAGGACAGGCTGGTAGTGGTGGGAGGCAGGAAGAACAATGAGCAGACATCTAGGGAGGCTTTGGTGTTTGAGGAGCAGACACAAAGCTGGCAGAGGCTGGCCAAGTTGCCCATACGCCTTTATAAAGCCTCATATGTGGCTCTGCACAGTGTACTGTATGTAATTGGAGGACTTACAACTAATGCAAAGTATAGCCAGGTCACCTCCACTGTTTACACACTCTCTCTCAAAACCAACCAGTGGAGACTCGCTGAACCCATGTTAGAGCCACGATTTGCTCACCAGACCCTTTCCTACCTGCACTTTATCTTTGTCCTGGGGGGGCTTGGGTCGGACAGGCGAGTGACAGCTTCTGTGGAAAGGTAAGAAAAAGGAATCATTGTTAGAGCAGAAATCTCTAACAAACCATTATGTTATCAATCCTCAATAACATATCTGTGAATAGATTCAACAGTATGTTCAATCAATGGGAGTCTATGGCCTCGATACCTGAAGCTGTGCTGCACCCAGCTGTAGCTGCCACCAACCAGAGGATCTACATGTTTGGAGGGGAGGATGCCATGCAGAACCCAGTCAGACTGATCCAGGTGAGTGTGTGTGTGTGGACCATTTGTGCCTTCATCCATCTTTATTTCTGCTCCCATTTCCTCAGTTCATCGATCACACTTCCCAAAGCTCATCTCTATTCTGCAGGTCTATCACATCGCCCGGAACATGTGGTCAAAGATGGAGAACAGGACAGTGAAGAATGTATCTGCACCTGCTGCAGTTATAGATGACAAAATATACATCATTGGAGGTACATTATGATTTCAATCCAAACAAAAAAAATTTATTATACACAAAATAGATTTCATTACTTAAATACTTGGTATATTGGATTTCCAGTTTGTTTCTATAGTCTTATCAGCTCATAATAATGCCAGTGCCAGTATCAGTGCCAACCATTGATAAATGAAGAGTTTAGCAACAAGAAGGACTGAATTTTATAGAAAAAGTTTGAATGAGTTAGAGTATAGACGATTCAGCAACCACAGAAATTCATAAATATTGACTAATATGCAAAGGAACAGTGCCTTGTCTATATTAAGAGACTCTAAAACTTCTGTTGTATTATTTTACAGGTTACACCAGGAGAATGATTGCTTATGACACCAAGACAAACTGTTTTATTAAATGTGCCAACCTGAAAGAGAGGAGGATGCACCACTCAGTCTCAGTCCTCAACAACAAACTGTACATTACTGGGGGGCGCTATGTCAATGGTCACGATGTCATTCAAGACTCAGACACATTTGAATCTTATGATCCAAAGACGGATACTTGGACCTCTAAAGGCTCTCTGCCACACAAACTGTTTGACCACGGCTCTCTCACTCTAACTAGTGTCCAACAAAACTGGGATAAATCCTGAATATTGTCTTGGTCAGTACTGTTCAATTTATAATATTGTAGCATGCTGTGAATGTGGTACAACAATGGCGTAAAAAGTGACTGCTGAAGTTCAATTGAAAATATGTGTAAAAAGTAAGGCACTTTGTTCACCCCATGCCTGGATTCAAGGTGAATAATAATTTCCAGCTAAATACAATGGATTAAACTGAATAGCAGTTAAAATGTGACAGGATTGTGCTTTTAAGTGTTCACCTCTTTGTTAGTTGTGTTTTGTGTTGCCCCTAACCACCTGAAAGCCCCTTCTTAACCTGTCTGACTCCACAATAGCTGTTGGTGCTATTTTTAGGGCAGTCTAAATCACTAGATTTTACTTGTCGAGTTTAAATCCTGAGGTCGCACATTGTTTCGGTGCAAGTACAAAGCTCTTTGCAGCTGTTTAGACCACCGACATTTAATATGAACTTGAAATTAGGTCAACAGCTTATTTTTAATTATGTGATGAAGAAATGCAATTCAGCTTTTTATGATTTTATAATATATGTTTAATTCCAATTTGTTGTTAAGTCATATTTGATTTGATATCCTTTTGTACTATGATAACATTTTTGTACTGTTTCCATTGTAAGATTTTAATTTTTTTTGTAATGTAAACAATAAAATATGAGCCACTCACATGTGCAGTCATTCCCGTGGGCCAAACGTGTTGCTTGGTCAGTTGACACCGAGTGCAATCTGAGCACTTTGCCTTGTCTGCACTGAGCCAGCATGTCCGGACAAGATCCTAGAGCAAAAAATAAAATAAATAAAACACTCTAGAAAATAGAGCAATAGCATTTATTGCAGTGCCTCTGTGTATGTAATTAGCCTCAAATCTCATGCACAGGCCAATATTTTGTTGTGGTCAATCTGCTGCCTAAAAATACAAACAATGCTTTATATATTAACACTTTAATATGAAGAGATAGCTCCTCTAAACATGACTACACCGCTCTCTTAAAGGTTTATGGGGAAAAGTGCTATGGGTGAGTTTATAGTAAACTAAAATTACATAATTTTGGTAAAATAACCCAAAAATATAGGCAAAGCTTATCAGCCATTGGTTACTCTGGATTCAAAACAAGTGGTATCAATATTGGTCGTGGAAAACCCATGGGTCAGTCTCTATACAAAAGTGATAACATTAATCTAAATATATGTTCTAAAGTAGATGCTTTAAGACAAAACAAGCAATAACACTAAAACATTGCCTTAAAGGTGGATTGTGCAACTTTTCTAGTCTACTTATGTCCATGGAGATGTTATTGCTTTGCCTGGAATGTTCCATGGTATGACATTAAACACATCCGTCTAGCATTACGGATGTTTCTGTTGCTCAAAAATGCAATCATCTCTCTGAATAGGGTTGCATCTCCACAGATCTGACCTGTAATGTGGCCTGTAGTTGTCTCCCTTGTGATAGATAGGTTTAATTTGTAATTTCTCGACAAAGCAATATCTCCATGTAGACAACAGATGACGTATCCTCCATCAGAAAAGTTGCGCAATGCACCTTTAACTATTACTTATTTGATTATATGTTCACATTTGCTTTTGAATCACATGAAGCAACTAGTATGTCATAAAGTGAGTGGGGAGTTTTTCCTTAAAAAAAGAGGGAAAAAAATAAATAGCTAAAAGTTATTTACATTGTAATATTATCTGCATTTACTGATGCTAAAAAATTCATAGGACCAGTGAGCACAAACTTGATGAGCACATGATATGACCACATGGAAGAACATGAGTCTTTCTTTGAATTCAGAAGTCATTGGGTCATGAGTTAGCGAATAGAGTGGAAGGGACAGAGGGAGGAGTGAGCTGGAAAAACTATAGGTGATCTGACGTTATTTTGAGAAACAAACAAGAGGCAAATGGAGGACCACGTGAGGCTGGGTCCGTTGCTGTGCAGGCTGTCTGATGTTAGAGACGCGTCCAGAGAGACCTAGAAACTGAGAATGTGAACCAGTGATGAAATCGTGTAGGAGGAGCAGCAACAGGTGTGAGTTTGTACATATGTGTTTATGATTGAGTTTTCGGAGGACACTAAGAGCAGCTGCTTTTGTTAATCACAACATCACAACAAAAACAAAGAGGAGGTCATGAAGAGAGACAAAGTAGTGAAATTCTATTGATGCTGCAGGTATGTGGCATGTATTTTTGGGATGGTCAGGTTATGGAAAACACCTTTTCACTAAATTCACTTCTGAGTAGTGAGTCAGAACTTTTAACCGAGTGACCCAGCAGTTGTTGGGACTTTTCCAGTATTAATATGATCCTAGGGGGGTTTATTCTATTTCATGTGTTCATATATTATTTTTAATTCACACATGCCATAAGAAATGTAAAGTAAGTTCCTCATTTGATGCTGGTTTATAGTTTCACTTTTTTTTTTTTTTTTTTACAGTAGACAGTTTCTATAATTCAGCCCCTCTATAACTCAATCCCTCCAACTTATTTACAGTTATATTTTGTTGACAAACAGTATTATATAAATTTCCTGAGTGACCTTTTGCATATATTTTTGTGACACATCAAAACACTGAAGCACCTGTTACAACAGCTTTTGCAATAGTGTATCTCAAAATAGCTGGGGGGGGGTCACTACATTCATGCCACGTCACAATTTCAAACTGTTAAAAGGGTCTTAAAAACAGGCAAACAGCAGGAAAGAAAGTTAAGTTTTGGTTAACACGTCATGTAAAGCAAATTGATACTTATGTTTCCTCAAGATTGGAAGGGCACAGATAGATTGATGATTTTTGTAGAATATTCTGGTTGTACAAGCCCAGGACAACTTCAGAGAAATGGCAGAGCACTCACATGTCATAGTCATATACAAGTAAATATATATCAAATAATAGTTATGTTTAAGTAGTGTGATTATATGGGAACATTTTGGCCAGTCACAATTCTGTATGAACTGTTCAATAAATGACAGAAGAATAATATTTCTAGACTCAATATTTGTTGCATTTGCACTAATGGAGAACTTCTTGTTTTGAGCTGTGCAGAAGTGAGAAAATGACATATCCATGACAATGATTCATTTCAGAGTGCTATTAATGACTAGAGACATGTCCTGCCAATCAATTTGTTGACTAAAAAGGGTGCATGGAAAAAGCTCTCAAAGCTGTATATCTGACCCAAACAAATCAGGAGATCATGCAAAAATAATTTACGCAAAAAAAAGTACTAGGAAACCACCATGTTTTTATAAAAAGACAGATTAAATTTGTGAATCATGATTTTAATTTCCCTTTTTACCATAAATACCAAAAAAATACAAAATTTTCAACTAACTCACCAACCTCTCCTTTCTGCCATTGTTCCAAATGAATCCTTATAATCTGAATCAAGTGGTTAGTCAACTAATACAAATTTTGTTTGACTAAGACACCATCAACCAATTAATCACTAAAATGACTAAAGGCCTACAACCCCAGTTTGCTGTATATAGTTAGACAAAGTGGTCTTAAATAAAAACTTTTACTTCAATATTTTTCTTTAGCAATATATTAGTTCTAAACAAGTGCTATCATGATACCCTTAAGTAGTGTACTGACCTTTTTGTAAGAGGAAATGTGCTAGAATGTGCTCTAAACCACAACTTTATTTGGTACTGATACAATTAACCACTGTGCAGCATTCAGCATGCAATGTCTCTAAAACACTGCTTTTGACAATAACCTCACCTATTGTTTTAAAAGTAACATTGGAAAACTGAGAGAGTCAAAAATCAACAGATCCAGTAGCAGTATTCATTTAAAATTTGAAGCACAAACTGTAGACCATCGCACGCTGAGAGGGGCCTGAAAACCATCAACACTTCATCAGTAAGTCCGAGCACGCTGCACAGACTAGAACAGCAGCACAGACACAAAAACACCCAGACAGAGATGCGAGTAGCAAAATATCTTCAAATACTATGATTATGACGTTATTTTGTCTATCGTTCAATAATGGTGATTCTTGTTTAAGCAGATCTCTTCATACAACAGCCGTGTATGTTTTGATTAACAGTAGTTTATCTCAAAGAGGCTTTCATCCAGAGTAGGAGATAATTGCTCACAAGCATACACAATTGTATTCATTCATATGTCTGTACTTGTAACACAGAGAGTATCGATATTTTGCAGCTGATGTCATCAACATTTCCTGGGGGTGTGATGCTAACTGAAAGCACTGCTCTGTTAGTTCTGTTACTCTGTTACTCAAATTTGACTTAATCTGATCTTTATTTTAACACAATCTGACCAGGTGAGATGATTTGTGCTGTTAAACAAGTCTCTCACACGTAAAATTACAGTCACAAGCTAGCTAAAATTAGCCAACACTGTTTTAGTCATCACTCTCACCTTTTTGTTGAAAATCAAACTCTTAAACAGGACCGTGAACACGTGTATTGATCACAGGCTCCTGGAAATGTGTTGTTTAAGACCATTTTGTTTTCAGATTGTCTTAAAGCTCTTTGACAGTGAGCTAGGGTGTGCATTGTTTTACCGTGTAACTTCTCAACATTCCGCCAATGCACATACATGTAGAACACCCCCAACGTGAAGTCACTGCAAATGATCAATTAGGCTACATTTAATAAAATAGCTATAGGGTTATTGTTAGGTTTATCTATAACCCTATCTACATCAGAAAATATGTTTCGAATATGTTTTTTTAAACTCTCCCACTACTACTACAAGTACTACTACAAGTACTACTACAAGTACTACTACAAGTACTTACTTACTCACCTGTGCTGGTACTAACTTCTTAGAAACCCAGCCACGTGTGTTGCATGGCTGACATGCTTGTTACCCCCAGAAGATAGACAGTGACACCTGTAGCATTTTACTTTAAGAAGTCAGGACTGACTGTGTTCCCCTGATTGATTTCACAAGTGACCCCCACATTAGTGACTCTATGCAAAAGAGCAATCAATACACAAGTGTGATTTGAATGTGATTTCCTCATTGGAGTGTTTATATCTCTGTTATGTGTGTACTGTAGCTGATAAGAGGTGACCCAGTGGCCTGTTAACATTTAGTTAAACATTGTCAATAACAGAACAAACAGCAGGATCTGAAAGCCAGACGTGTTAGTTTTGATTGGGTACATTTGCACACAAAGAATTGCAATTGCGTGCCTATTATGTAAAGAAAACTACACATTAACACACTTAACAGTTTACTTTACCGAAACATAAAAATAGTTCATAATGCAATAAAACTCAAAGTTACTTAACTCAATCTATTTTTTAAGTGACTATGGATCAGGGGGACTTCACATCCACATTACTGAGAGCTGATTTTCCAATACAGACTAGGCTACAAAATAATATCTCAATGGTTTATGTTTTAAACCATAAAACTGACAACTTAAACATTATGCTATTTCTTCTTGCATGTGTTCCTCTGGCTAAAACACTCAAATAACTGTGGTTTCCATCCCATCACATGCTTCGAGAGAATGTATCTATGCTGTACATGTGTGTATGATTACCCCCTCCTCCTTCGCAGTATGCCCGCACGCTGTTATGTAATAGTCTTAAATTTCAAACACGCACAAAACACCCCTTTAGACAGTCTATGCGAATAACAATGGTTGCAAATAACATTTAGTGTGCGTAAAATGATTCGATTTCAAGGCCTTATGATGTTATGTTTCCTCTGCTCGCCTGTCCCAAAGGTTTTGCAACGATCGGGTACATAAACAAAGCCACGTGCTGCAGGGAAGTTTCCAAAGGGGGCGGAGCTTCTGTATTTCCGGGTTGGGTTTCGGAGGATATAAGCAGCTGCGCAATGACAACACTAGACAACAAAGACGACTAGAAACAAAGTCATTTCAAGAAGACACACTCAGTCGACTTATTGCTTGACTTTTTAACATCAATTTAAAGTTTTCTCTACAAATTGAGGATGCCTTTTCTCGGACAGGACTGGAGGTCACCGGGTCAGAGCTGGGTTAAAACTGAAGAGGGATGGAAAAAGACAACTACAGACGATAAAAACAACAATTTGTCGGTGCAGAGGTTGGTAAAAACATTGATGGACACTATGTGAAACTATTCTGTTGATGACATCGCTTTAGCTGAACAATAATTAACTGTAGATGTGTTAAAGTTCAGCTGATGTTAAAAAAGTCCACTAAAGCCAACTAAAGATGAAGAATACAGGATTAGGCTACAGTCTAATTTAGTTTCCAACGCATTAACCCTACTGCCTTTGTTTTATTTCTGGGAATGTTTTTTTCCAGGCTAATCACTAAGCTATTTTTAACCACACACAACAAGTGAGTGGATTAAGTTAAGTCACTGATACACAGAGAGCCTTCGTTTGACATGCACAAAAGAAGCCACAACAGGAAACAAAGTTAGGGTAGATGTCTGACAACGTCGGACAAAACACTCAAACTATTTAAAAAATACATGACAATAGTTCCATGCTGGCAACAAGTTCCCAAAGCATACCAAAATGATCTAAATGATAAGGACTGGGTGGTTTATGTGTATACTTTAGACTAAGTGAGAGATAAGGTGAGTGAACTGTTTGGAAGTGAGTTGGGACTTTGTCAGGCCTTGTGCGCAAAGGCCTTCTAGTGATGTGAATTATGTGTTTTTCCAGCTTCTGCAAAGCACAAGAGGAGGAGGAGGAGTGCTTCAACAAAGAGAACCTGCTCATCTCGCTCAACTATGATCTGTCTGCCAAAAAGAGAAAAAAGGACCTAATGAACAACAATACCAAAGTACCCTGTGAGTCATGCTGGAAAGGCCACACTCTTTGTCTGATCAATTATAATAATGTGTTTTTCAAAAAGATTAATCCGCCATCTAATGCTCTAATTCCATAATTCAAGACGCTAATCTTTCTGTTGTTACCTCTTGATCAAATGCGTATTTGTGTATTTGATTGTGATTCAGGGTATGTACATTTGCCATAAACATTGTATTTTCCACAGATTTTCACATGGAGAAGTGGATTTATGTTCATAAAGGAAGCACCAAAGAGGTAAGAGAAAACAAAAACATTAATTTACTTTAATTTACTCACATCAGCTTTTCATTTTGTCTTTGCTAAAGTAAACACTGAGATGCTCTTATTGAGGATAGCAATCTAATATCATGATAATTAAATTCTACAGCGCCATGGCTACTGCACACTGGGAGAGGCCTTCAACCGCCTGGATTTCTGCAGCGCCATCAAGGACACCAGAAGATTTAATTACATTGTCAGAGTAAGTCTTCATCTTTTTGCTTGTCTCTTTAAACCCAGATGTTTTGGTTTGGGTAGATGAAGGGTTAAAACTTTCAGGGCGTGTGATTGAGGCTTATCAACGCCGTGCAGACGAAGGTGTCTCATTTGTCATGATACTGCGTCAGGGAGAAGGGTGTGTTTACCATCATGTTACAGTCTCTCATGTAGTGTTTCTACCATAACTTTCATTAGTAATTATCAAAGATTTTCAATAAGAGCAAGTTAGTAATTCAGTGAAATGTTGTTGTGAGATAATCAGTAAACAGCTCTTAGTAAAATGTTCACAGACCTGCAACATCAAATAGTTTGAAGAGGCAGCTGACTCTTACACATGTGCATCCATGTGACTCTTTATGTGGTCAGGTTGTCCCGCACCGGGGGGGTTAGAAAGGGGGTAGGGGGTAGAGGGTAGGGGGGTATAACAGCTGTGCAGTGAGGTGCATTGGCTTATGAAACTGGACCCTGTGGTTGTCAGGTCAGACCCATAAACAAAGACGAAAGAACATTCTCTGACAGACTGCTGGTTAAGTGTGGACATATCTACACTACATAACAGTGGACTTTTTTTTCTTTTCTTTTTTTACTTTTGTTTGTCTCAGTAGTTTTGCGTCATTCACTCTCAAATTTCATGATGAGCATCTACAACCCTGTTTAACTTTTCAGCGAACCTTTTACCTGTGGCTTCACTAACAAGTGCAGTTTATTGTGTGGTGAGCCTCCTTCACAATAGGGCTGTGTAACCCTAGTGGACCGTCTGGACACTGTGTCCTTGGTCATTGCTCTTCACTGGTTTGTCTGATGGCATTTAAGGGCTCATTTGACTGTGACTCAATTTCACCTAAGCCGCCACTTATTGAGGTGTTCCAGTATAACTTAATATGCAGAATTACTATTAGAAAACCTATATTAATTGAGAACCTCGAACTAATATTAGTATGGTTTGAGCAAGTGGTTTGTTCATAGGAAAGAATGGCTCACACGTCAAACTTTGAAGTGCAGGGGCTAAAAGTAGATACATAAATGCGCATTGTTCTGCCCGGCTGCTCTACAAAGAGAAGAACACACCACGAGCTGCTAAAAGAAGAAGGCCGTAAGATTAGGTTTTAGATCCAGACTGGAAAGTATGAATAGTCTGGAGAGAGGGATGCTTTAAATGGGTAAAGCTAATATGAGAAAAGAAAACGGAAATTGTTTGAGGACTTAAAATAGACTCTCGGGTTTGCACGAGTGCAAACTTGCTTTACCTATGTGGTTTCAGTTTTGCTTTTACAAGTAAACTCCTAAGCAACACTTGTTATAGAGTTACACTGTTGTGATGGAGGTCACATGTCTAGAGTTGAGCACAGGGGTGCAGGAGTTTCTCCATGATGTCAAAGCAACTGCTACCAGTCTATTTATCTACTGCACAGTGCCATCAACACACACAGCTAGGGTCATTTGGTGGGTAGTATAAATGATTATCTGGCATTCATAACAGGCTCTAGAGTCATATGAGGAGAAGTGTTGTTGTGAAGGTGACACTTTATAGAGCAGGCAGCTTTCTAGTAGCTTCTCTAAAACATCACACACAGCAGGAGCCACAGTGTTTAGGTTTGAAACCCGGGCCAGGTAGACTCATTTGTTTAGGACAGCTGTGACTTCAGAGGAATGCAGCACCATCAACATTAAGTAATGAGGAACAGCGTGTCTTCACAGCAGACGTCTCAAATTTATGTTTCTTTCTTTTTGTCTCCCCTCCAGCTCCTGGAGCTTATCGCCAAGTCCCAGCTCCCCTCACTCAGTGGAGTTGCTCAGAAAAACTACATGAATATTTTGGAGAGAGTGGTGCAGAAAGGTGAGCTCTGCTCCTCTTCTCAAGTGATGGCCTCTCGGTTTCTTTGTTATATGTCACAGGGTTTATATTTCGGGCAACACTTAAGTACATTCAACTGCTCAAGTACAGTTTTCTTTTTGTAAAAAACCTTGACAAATGCCACTTGTCCACTGTGTTTTTGTCCTTTGGGACTTCAAAAGAACATATTTTTATGCTCCAGTGGCAGGTTGAAGACAAAAGCTGACAGTTACCAGACCTCTGTACAAGCTAAAGTATAAACTAAACGTCCCCTCTGTTAAACACAGTTTTAGGTGCAGAGGTGCCGCTATGAAACCCGTAGGACAAATATTATGAATCCTTTACAGGACAACAGTTGCTCCAAAACATTTAGTTTAATGTTATCTTTATCCCCATAAATATTTAAGAAAAGAGCTGTGCTTATTACAACACAATACAACAGATAATTTTCCCTAATAAAGGCTTATTTTCTGTTGTCAGTCCTGGATGACCAGCAGAATGTGCGTCCCATAAAGGAGCTGCTGCAGAGCCTGTATGTGTCCCTCTGCAGTCTGGTGCAGGACATGGGCAAGTCGGTCCTGGTGGGGAACATCAACATTTGGGTGCACCGCATGGAAAACATCCTGCAGTGGCAGCAGCAGCTGGACAACATCCAGATCAACAGAGTAAGCATTTTCCTCATCAAACAAAACAGAAATGTCTAAAACTGAAATGACTTTAACAGCCTTGTCTTTGCTTCCAGCCCACATCCAGCGGTATGACCCTCACTGACCTGCCTGACAGCCTGCAGCTCAAAATTATGGACAGTCTGTCGGACGGGCGAGACCTGGTCAGTTTGGGACAGGTGTGTCCAGACCTGGGACGGCTCACTGAGGACCGCCTGCTCTGGAAGAAACTCTGCCAGTACCACTTCACAGACAGACAGGTACACAACATATTCATTCATATTCACACTCTTTTGTCAGACTTACACTTGGTTATGACTGAGATATTTGTGTAACCTGTAAACCAATTTACAAGTTGTTTTCTGAGTTGGATTGCAAAGAAAAATAACACAATATTTTTCTTCAGATCCGTAAGCGCCTGATACTCTCAGACAAAGGTCATCTGGAGTGGAAAAAGATGTACTTTAAGCTGAGCCGTTGCTACCCGCGCAGAGAGCAATACAGCGATACCTTACACTTCTGCACACACTGCCACATCCTTTTCTGGAAGGTAAGCTTTTATTATTATTATTATTATTATTATTATTTTTACCATTTTAGAGTAAATATCTGATTAGTAATTCTAATCCTTTAGGACACAAACCACCCCTGCACAGCCAATAACCCAGAGGGCTGCACTGTGGCACTTTCTCCACAAGACTTTATCAACCTTTTCAACTTCTGATGCCACAAATACAGATCTATGTTGTACATAATGTACATACCTGTACATGTTTTTTGTTAACAGTAATACTCCATTTGTATATTTTGACTTTGTTAAGAGGGAGAATGTAATTTGGTTTCTTTTGAAAAGGTCTGGTGGGTTTAAGATGTTTACCATTGGAAGCATGAGAGGGAAAACAATGGCATAAAGGTGCAGTTTGTGAAGAATTGAGTTTTAGGTTAACAGAAACTTGTGTTTTGATTATTTAAACCAAAAAAGTTCCTTTTTATGTTGAACTTACAAAGGGATGTTAAATGTTGCCATGTGCTAGATTATGTAGGTTGGCGCTGGCACAAGGTCATGGAAGATGAGTCAGTGAATGTAAGGAGGTGCTCATACTATTATGTTAATATTGCAATATATTTTGTAATTAACTTTTTCACTTTTATATTTTTCTATGAACTGTGTGTTTATACAATGTGATAACAGCTTTTCTGAACACAGATTGTAGATACTATAGTAGCAACTATAGTCTTGGACTGTTGTGTGCCTTGTCATGACACTTTTAATCGGTACACTTTAATTTTTGCATTAACATGAGCAACAAATCTGATTTACACTTAATAGTAGTATAATTACTGGGATTTAATACCAAAGTTTGTGTTTACCATCATGCATGTTTCGTTTTTACCCAGTTCATTGTGTTGTTTACCTGTTTGTTGGGAGTAGCTCCACTTGCACTTTGTGTTTATATATGTAGGCCTTTATGGACCTGAACTCTGAGGAAAGAAAATAATTCTATGTATTTCAATATTTATGTTACATTAAATAAATGGAAATATAAACAATATAACATGAACTTAATTACTATCATTCTACTAGTTTAAGCCAGGTTCTATCACAAGGTAAAGCCAAGTACACACCCTTGTGGACAAAAAATAAAACTACAATGTTAGACTATGCCCCCACAGACCTATTATGAATAAATACAGCGGGTAAAAAGACATTTAAACACACACAAAGCAATAACTATATAATGGGATCAAATTTAATATACATGACTTACATAAATACAATTTATTAACTTAACAAAAACAAGTACAAATGATAGTATCAGTGCATATTGAATGAAATCATTGCACATACAGTACAGGTAGTTCTTTGTCTGAACACTTGGAAGCATAATGATGGTAAAGGCATGAGTCACTGTCAAACCAAAGTACACAGGCATCATTTTAAGGCCATGTAAAATGTGATTAACTTACACTTAAATAAAATGATAAATATTTAAAAACTCATATGTGTTTAACTGTGCTGGTCTTAGTCCATTGATATGGGACTTGCACTGTGCCATTGTGTTGTTGTATTGACAGAAGAGGGCAATGCTATATACATTCCCATTATTATCTTCTGCCACAAAAAGCGACTTATTTCCATCTAAAGTGACTGCATGAGTGACTTATTATAACAATAAACTACCACCAATAAACTACCTCGTATTCCCTTAAACTACCATGCAAACATATCATCTACAGTTTATGCCTCTCGAAATACAAAATAACCACCAGGTGCAACATTGGCATTTGAACTACATTTAAAAGAGTCTTAAGTGTCTGATATCATAGAGGTGCTTGGCAAAGTAGAAGTTGAGAAAGTTTTTTGCATATTTTACTTTAACTTTCTTTATATTGTTCCAAAATCATTGCATACCAAAAACTTAAAATAAGCTACAACCTTTAAATCCAGACAGTAATTTCACTGAGCTTTGCCCAAAATAGTTTATCTCTTTCCACCGTACAGATTATCTTGTATTTCTGGGGTCCACCTTCCTTTAAGATAAAGTCAGGTCAGACAGTAACCCTGTGCACAAACAAATCATATGACTTAGGTTTGCTGAAGATTACATGGGTTTGTTAGGTTTGGAAATAATTAAATGAACATTTTAATAGAGAAAGAATGAAATGGAAAGGTTACCAGGGTTAGTAAATATCACAGAGAGGTACTTTTTCTCTTTCAGAGTTTTGAATAATCCATTCAATTGCATCCCAACCCTACAGAATTACACACAGAAATACAAGATTATATAATAGAATAACATGCATAGTTATAGTCATAGGTAGAACATGCAAGTAAAATCATGAAAAAAGGTAAATGAAAAAAAAAACATAAAAATAAATCACCTTTCTGGCGTTGGCTGACATCCTCCTGGCCATCATACTTTCCAGATAACTACTTAAACTAACCCCCTTTACTGTGATGATGGCCTCTTGAGTCAGGACAGTTCTAAGGGACAAGAAAGAATATTCATATTAATATTATAAATATCAATATTTGCACACAAGGTTTACTTTACTATCTATTATACATGCAGAAGTAATAAACAAATACTTACACATCTGGGTTTTCTGGGTGTGGGTGGTAGACAAGTCTTTCATCGACTGAGATGAGGTTGGTCAATGTAATCTGGCAATAACAGACCAAATGCAAATGTATTAAGTGAAAATAATGCTGGCGATAATGTATTTGTGAATGTCACTTACATTTGTTGAACAAAGTTCCATCTTTTTCTCCTCTGGGTCGACTATGGAATGTTCTTTGACATATGTCTGGGTGTGATTGGTGCCAAGGATCTGCATGATTAAGAGATGCAATATAAACATTTCTAACTAAATCTAAATCATCTAAATCTGGATTTTCCCACACAATGTCAGATTAGTCATATTTATATATTCTAACCTTTTTAAATTAAACTGGACACTTTAAATAAACAAAGTAGCAAATATAATCTGTATGAATAAAACAGAATAGTATACATAATAATGGAACAATGAAAATACCGGTCACAAATATGAAAGTTAAGTTTTTGGAATCACTCACCGCCCGTACAATGCTGGGCAGACCCCATTCAGTGCTGAGAAGTCTGTGGCTGTGAAGGCGCCCCCTGGAGTCCAGACCACGGTCCAGCACGTCCACGCCAATTACACTAGGGTTCATTGGGTTGGGGTACTTCCTCATTGCTGCTTTGACAACCGTTTCCCAAGGGTAACTGGACAATGAAAGAAACCATACAATATAAAAATATACAGAAACAACAACGCTGAATGCTGGTTCAGGCTACTTTAATGACAGATAAGCTATTAAGTAGATTATTTCAGACCTTTCAAACTAGTGACCAACCTGAACTGGTGCTCTGTACTCCAAATCTTCATACTGCAACCGATTGCCTTGACCTGCCTGTTTAAGCGACGCTCCTATGGAAAACCTTTGGTCAACACATCCATTTTCCTTTAGGGAAATAACTCCGCTATGGCCTCTTTATGGCACATCACGGCAGAGACATTAATCACAGTCAAACTAGACGCATCGTTGTGTTTTCATCCATACCGCCCACACTGGTTGACTGTAGTTTGCCTACACTGTTTTGGAAATGCAAAGGAAGATCACGGATAACCTGTACTTGAGAAAGAAAAGAAGCCGGTGCACCAACGAAGGCAATGGGCTATGTGCAAAGATGGAAAGAGCAATACAGACTTATCCGTGCAATATTTCATAATTAAAGTAGTCATGATAGCCGAAAATCTATCTAGTGATAACCATGGACCAACCTGCTCTCAATTAATTTTCTATTTACGTAAAATTGTTGTTTCCGAGCTTATATAGATTTCATATGTCTTTAAATGAGAACAAGAGACACAATTAATAGCTTATTCTGAAGGTTTTACACCGCATTTCCTTATCCACTCTCCGAACGTCAGCTGGTTACGAAGCTGCCATCTGCGCCGCTGCATCTGCCATCCTTTGTGCGCATGCGCTTGGCATCCTCCTCTCATCCTAATGGCAATGGCAGGACGCAGAGACCGCGTCAAGCTACACAAAGACAGACAGGAAAATAGGAAGCGAGTTTATTAGAAATTCACATTAAAAAGCAACATATAGACCAGGGTAAAAGCACTGGATTATTATAGGCTAGTGCAAGCCTGTTCCTATACTTAGGTGTAGATATAATGTTGTTTCAAAATCTAATGAGCAATCGTGTTAAGCCTACAGTAAAATTAAATGAAAGGTGCTTTTCTGACTGGCCAATGATGTAGCCAAGGAATATAAAAACAGGCTATGAATCACTTTGTCAAAATGTTTGGGTCTATTTTGGACTATTTCCTGGGCAACAATCTAAAGAGAAACATAATTATAATTTTCTTTTCAAAGATGCAACACATGAAGACACTTATTTTGACAGGTAAAACGGGAAGCAGTGGCGGCGGGGCGTTTGCTTGTTGGTGGATCTGTGGCAGATCAAAGAGCGCTGGCTGTAGCAGACGCGCAGTGAAGGCGATGCTCCCCTGACAAGAAGCTCGCCCATCACCGTCTATTCAGCGGTCTCTTCATTCATGCGCACCGCGAGCCAGTTTTTCCATTTAGACCGACACAAAATTCGGTTAGATCGTTAGAAGAGAAGATAGTGCGCTGACCTTCCACTGAATGTCATCATAGACACATTTCTGCAAGCAGCGATACGGTAAGACAGTAAGCATCTTCTTGGGATGAAAAGGAAAACCTATTTTCACTCTCAACGTTGCGCTTTGTGATTTATTGCAGATGTTACATTACATGGTTATATTTGTAGTTTTACCCATATTAACGAATTATTTAGGCAACCATTAAAGGTTCAATATTACGTTTGGTGATGGAGGTGTTGAGGCCTTGAGAGTACCGCAGAGATTCACAGGCCTATAGCTCATGTTTACTGAAATGCATACTTTTCGACGTTATAAATTAACTGATTATTTACTCATTGTATCCTTCATCGGAGATAAGTCTGCTTATGTGATGGGTGCTGTTAAAGGGACGAGTGCATGTGAGACCATGGCAGATGCTGCAGCAGCGCTTGATCTGCTCCAGGCTGGACCAGGGAGGGGAGGGGGACATGTTTTAGGATCATTAAATAACACGCTGTTGCTCAGCCGTCCATGCGTAAAGCCTATACCCATATGAGTTAACGTAATTGAGGTGGCTCCCAAGAAATCCCAACCGGTCTGATATCTAAAAGGTTGGCTAGTGGTCGTGCTAGAGTCAAAAATCTGCTGACACATGCGCTCTGGCAGCCGGGTCTCCCTGCCTTTGTGCGCAATGAAGCCTTAAGCCCATCCATCAGGCCTCATGGGGCCGCACACAGACGCCGATACTCACACTGACTGACTTAGTCCGTTTCCGGTTGGACCTCATCAATAAGTTAATTCACAGTTCTAATAAAGTGTCCTTAAAAATTGTAACAAGTTGATAAGGTCGTTATTTTATTTGAAAATATATGTTGTTGCAGGTTTTTGTCAGACATGGAGATTGTAACACATTTGATCAATGACACCATAGAGTTCTACAAATGGACATTGACCATTGCAGGTAAGTCTTTTCCTTTATAATTCTATGGCTATCAACACATACAGGCCCATACTTTATAGCTTAGTTATAATATTTAGCACACATAATAGGCTTACATGAAAATGACCAACCACTTTTAGCAGATTGTACAGAGCATCTTTTGACATGCTAAATAACAAAGATGTACAGGTCTGTGACTAATGTCAGCATCTGTTCCACAGACAAGCGTGTGGAGAAATGGCCTTTGATGGACAACCCCCTGCCCACACTGGCCATCAGCACCTCCTACCTGCTGTTCCTGTGGCTTGGGCCCAAATACATGAAAAACAGGGAGCCTTTCCAGCTCCGCAAAACTCTAATCATCTACAACTTCAGTATGGTCTTCCTCAACTTTTTCATCTTCAAAGAGGTAGCTCATTATACCATAGGTTTATAGTGTGTTAGTATTTATGTTCTAACTTAATGTCTGTCTTTTTTTCTTTCCAGTTGTTTATGGCAGCACGGGCTGCAGGATACAGTTATATCTGTCAATCAGTCAATTACTCAGATGATCCCAATGAAGTCAGGGTGAGTTTTTTCTGTCAATATGTTTGAAACATTGGTTATTTGATTTCAAACACATTTGGAAAGCCATTTTCCTAGTGGTTTTAATTAATTATTAAAACATAGTTTTTTATTTGGGATCCTTGAATTGTTATCAGAAAGCAGGGGAGTTCATGGACTGCCTGGTGTATTGTTTCAGCTTTCTTCTCACTGCGCCATGACGTTGCCATGCTAATGCTAATGAACCCTGATATGTATCCAATTTCTCTGGAGTTTAAAGATAACTACACATACCAGATTAGGCCATACAGAGATGTTGTAGGCTAATATATTTTCTCTAATATTGTTAAAACAGGTGGCAGCAGCCTTGTGGTGGTACTTTGTCTCCAAAGGTATTGAATACCTGGACACAGTGTTTTTCATTCTGAGGAAAAAGTTCAACCAGGTGACCTTCTTGCATGTGTACCACCACTGCACCATGTTCACTCTGTGGTGGATTGGCATCAAATGGGTGGCAGGAGGACAGTGTGAGTATTCTTTACTATATCATCTGTAGATAACCTCAATTAAAATAAATACATTTAAAAAATTTATAAATGCTATATGACTGCAGGAGTGATGCTCAGTTATTAGCAATGCATTATACTTGACAACTTGCCTTTGAATCACGGGTTTGCATCCCAATTCCAAAAATGACAGTTCTTCCTGTAACCCTTATAATTTCCCATTACACTCTATTCAAACTTTGAAAGGACTCAATTATAGCTACTTTAAAGGGTTTTTTTTGCTCTAACTTTCACTTGCTGGCATTCGCAGCATTTTTTGGAGCTCACATGAACGCAGCGATCCATGTTCTGATGTACTTGTATTATGGACTGGCCTCTTGTGGACCTAAGATTCAGAAGTATCTTTGGTGGAAGAAGTACTTAACCATCATCCAAATGGTAAAATTGCATTTATTTTAGGAATCAATTAATCAATAATTTATTATTAACTAAGAATTTGATTTGTGCTGATTGTTTTGTTTTCTTTTACTGTTATAGATTCAATTTCACGTAACAATTGGACACACTGCTCTGTCCCTCTATGTTAACTGCGACTTCCCTCACTGGATGCACTACTCCCTCATCTGCTATGCCATCACCTTTATTATCCTGTTTGGTAACTTCTATTACCAGACCTACCGTCGGCAGCAGCCAAAACGTGAAGCTGTCTCCTCCAAATCCAACAAGTCCCTTTCCAATGGGACTCTCAATGGACTCAGCAAGGCCACAAATGGAGCCACAGCATCAGGAAACAAGGAGGAGAAGACCCAGGACAACACTGGAAGAAGAAAGAGGAAAGGAAGAGCTAAGAGAGATTAATTGAATTATTTGGGTTTTATAGAAATTATGAGGACTATTTCAATTGTTTGATGCCTAATGGTTATGTTTTCAAGCCACGATCTTGAGTTGTTAAAATCTGAGAAACCCCTATTGAGAATGAGATATAGAAGTTCACACTGGATAGGTTGACAGTTATCACAATAGTTTTGGTGTCTTGTGGTGCCAATGAAAATTTTACAAACAAGTGAACAAAACAATAGTAGAAGATGGAGATGGGGAGTAAAGATGTATTTTTGTCTCATCAAAGCAAAGCTGAGTTTCCATGCACGAGGTCAGATCTGCATTCAAACCTACAGTTGTTGCTTTCAAACGATGCTGTATTCACAGATAAGAACACATGCACAGACAATAGACCATTGAGTTTCTAGCAATTTCTTTAAGATTAGAGATAAATACCATATAACTGATCAAATGTACAGTATCTTGTCATATATACGATATATTTCAACCATGTCACAAGATGTTGGTCAAGCTTAAATCAAGTTTACAATGTTTTTAAAAACTACCACTGCTAGAGCTAAGGAAAAGTTGTCTATAAGATTATAGAGAAGAAATGTAGGTGGAGCATCATTTTTAGATCCAATGTATTTTAGACATTTTCTAAGCAGACTGTCAATGCAGGTTTTCTATATAGCCCTACATGTATGTCAAAGGTATATGTCACTGAATCATTGTAAACTCTCAATCCCACAGTGTACTTGTCGATAAGATGTGTGTCTTTTCTATGCTGGTGTCATTGTCTTAAATGCTGGTAAAATACTGTATGCAGAAGAAATAAGGTACAGTCATATCTTATTATGACTCTTATTATTGATTTTATTTATTGTTTTTACTTATTCATATCCTGAGCTGGCTTGAATGTGAGAATGTATATTGTATAATTTATATCAAATGTGAATTTGTGAGTTTCCCCAGAATCCCTTGCTTGTAGTGGATCAACAGCAGAACTTCATGCAATCTGTCAAACTCATGTTTCATGTTATTTTTTTTAAGTGTATTGTGTAATTTTTCTTCAGAGATGTTTTTGCCTGTCCTGAAATGTTTCACTGTTTGGCATTACACATATCTATCTACATGGAGACAAGCAGGTGACACCATCTGTAACCAAGTTACAGGACAGATCTGTGGAGAGGTCACCCCACTCACAATAAAAGTCAGGCTTTAAGTGTTTAATGCCATACAAGGGAACATGCCAGGCAAAGCAATACAATTTCCACCAAGGCAAGCAGGTGGCATGTAACGCACAAGAAAAGTTGCGCAGTTCTTCTTTAAGTGACTTTAAGTGAGTGTTATTGTCATTTGTAAATACATGTTCATGCAGCTTACACTGCGTATTTGTCTGATAAATTTGAGTTATAAATAATTGTGATATTTTGTATACAGTGCATTTGGGAATGTCCCTAGTTTGCCATGAGTTGGGCTTTTATTTGTCCAATGTTTCTGTCTTTTTTAAAGTAACACATCTTAAGTTCTGTTTGAATTAATAAAACTGAATGCCTGTAAATAACGTTTAGAGTCACATTTGTAATCCAAAATAACAACAGAAAAGATGCACAGTGGCTTAATCCTCCAGAGAAATCAGCTCTGCCAAGATGTTCTTCTCATGTTCTTCTGTCCTCAGTGACACACGGTGGTAGTGGAATCTTGTGTTGGTAGTAGTTCGATAAAGTTGGTTTCTTACACCAGATGGCGCTACAGTCACTTATAGTGTAATAATCAGAGGGCATATGCGTTACTGCGGCCTTGACAACAAATAACCCAGGTTAATATTAAAGTAGACCATAATGGTCAAGCTCTGTATGCAATGCACCTTCATGTTCATAATAATTGAGTGATACTGTGTGAATTAAACCTGGCTTTTCTATACCTTGAGGTTACTATTTGTAATTGCTCTTAAGTCCTGGTCTATGTTTGAACAAAGGGAACTATATAGAGCAGCTGTGTGTCCCCCACAGTGCACCACAATCACAAGCCCCTCCCACTGTCTTTACATCACCCCCACCTCCACCTCCAGCATATCCCCCTGCTATAAAGTATTTAACAGGGGTTTGTGACTGTGGTGAGTGGGCAGTGGGAGGATTAATACTTGAGACAATGAAGAAAAAACACAGTAATTAGGCCTATAAGCAATGTGAGTTTGTAACTCACGCAGCGTTTATGAGTGGGCAGCCTCCAACAGCAGAGGAGTATTATGTGGTTTAGATCTGTGTTGTTACCTGAGGCGAATTACACAACAAGGCAACTGAAAACCTTAAATGTTAGGCAGCTACCAGTAGAACCTGGTTTTAATTTGGTAGTAGAATAGACTAGGTACATGGGATTAAGTTATATTTCTTTAATATAATTTATGCAAATATTGACGTGGTTGGTAGAATGACTTGTATAAACCTAAAATACTACTAGAGCTGAGAAGAGCATACACATATTTCTACTACAGTAAAAAGTTGAGTTATTTCAGTCCATTGCTGTGGACATCCCAGCTACATGTGTCAAGTAATCACCTGGTCAATGGCATGGAAGGACATGCAACATACACAGCCATTCAGACTCAGCACATACAATTTGTGTTGATGAAGGGTTGGGTTGAGTGCCCAAGAAGAATCCAAACTAACACATAACAGTCTACAGCACACTGACCACAGGTGGTCATTATAGTGCTTCTTAGAACTTTATCTTCACCTTTGGATGGATGGACCTACAGGTAGGTAATATATGCACACTCTCAGCAAATTAACTGGATGTATTTCCCTGTGGATGGGAAGCTTAATAAATCAGGAACATGTGTCAGGAACCCATGTGAATCTAGTACACAGCCACTAATATACATAAGAGTAGAGGAAGCTTTTTGAATATTAATTAGATTACATAAATATACAACCACTGATGACACAATGTTAAGTTTGTCTGTAATTTTTCAAGTAACAAAGCATCACAAACTGTATCACTGTAAAAACACATAGAAAACCAGACAGCTTTTTCTATGAATGTCTCTTCAGGGACACTTCTGTAGTCTCACTCCTATTTTGATAGCCCTTATGCATGAACCATAAAGGACAAATTTAATTCAATTTAAAACTATTTCTATTTACCAAGAATTACTTATGATTAAACAAATAATAATAATGATTAATCCTAATCAATGCATCAAAGAGTCTTTTTTCCTACTGAGCTGGTTATCTTATTTCCCCAGAACATCTAAAAGGCCGACATCTGTCAACTTAATGCAGGCAAATGATTGAATG